TGTATACATTGAATTAATCTTATTGGACGGCTAGTTATTTATATGTTTTTGAATTTGGCTACGTTAATTTGTAAAAGTTACGAATGAAATGTCATTAGTTGTATTTATGTAGTGTTGCTGTAAATATTAAAACATTTGATTATGGTACGGAACCGAACGGAACCGAACCGATCCGAACCGAACCGAACAGAACCGAACCCGAACGGTTCCATAATTATATTTGGACCCGATGGGTCCATTTATGAAATACCCGAAAATTTTGGGTCAGTTCGGATCTCTTCAGAACCGAACCGACCCACGGATAGCCCTAGTTAAGAGGAGTAGTTCAAATCTTTATAAATTGTTCTATATTTTCATCTTTAATCGATGTGTGATTCTATATTGATCGGCGATTCGGGTGTTGGAAAATCGAATTTATTATCGAGATTCACTCAAAATGAGTTCAGTATCGAATCAAAGTCGACGATCAGCGTTGAATTCCACTCGAAACATCCTGGTCGATGATATGGTAGTCAAGTCCCAGATCTGGGACACTATCGGCCAAGAACGGTATATAGATATACACATATTTTTTTGTAAAATGAAATGTGTGCTTTTTGTGAATTGGGGTTATTGTAAGATATTTAGATCTGAGTAGCTGGCATTATGTTGATTTATATTCTATCATTTTATTTTAATTAATAGCTGGGTTCATTTTCAGTGAAATGTAGTTATCTTTCTGGGTTTACTCATGGGATTTTTAGATCTGGGATTTAAAATGAATTTTTTCTTCTTATACTTTTTGTTATTGGTTTAGTTGTAAGAGTGTTTTAGGGAATTAGATCTAGTACTAGTAATGAATTATAGGTTTGCTAATCTTTTGAACATAAATCAGTGTCCATTTGTTGTGAATTCTGCTTCAGAGTTCGACTGATCTATATCGAATTAATCCAAAGATTCATTTGCTTTATGCAATTTTCTGCTGTTTTATGGTTTTTATGACGAAGACTTGTGATTCCAATGATTTATTTCATTTAACATATCATTTAAAACCACTTAGACTGTGGTTGTAATCCCAATGGGACTACATATCGTTACTCTGGTCAAACAATCAACCGAAGCATGTATTGGTCAAGTGGAGTTTTAATGCTAGTAACTAATGTGTTTATTTTTAAATCAGCAAGCAGGATTTAGTGCTAGTGAAGTTTTGACGCAGAGAGAATAAAGAATTAAATCTCGATGTCACTACGATCATATGTGATAAACACTGCTAACGAGAAAATTAGCGCGACCTATGGCTTCAGATACGAAGGCTTAAAAATGAATAACCATTTAATAAATTTTTTTTGAACTCGAACACTTCTATGTTTCCTATGTGCCTTCTCTCATGGCCGTGTTTTAATTTGTTATCGATGAATTTTCAAGTTTGCGTGACTTTATTTTTAATGGTGTGTTGTCACACCACCACCAACAACAACAAAATAAGCGCGGTTTTAATAAATTTGAGATCAACTTTGTGGGTCCCTTTTTGCATCCTATTGAAACATCTAAAGCAACGAGGTCCTTAGCAACTACAAGCAGCCGTGTCAGTTTTGGCCTATCTTCCCTCTCTTGACATGTTCTCTGAATGCATCAAGAACGTGTCTTAATTACCAAAGTCATCATTCCCTCATTATCTTCAAGCAGTGCCATCTCCACTTGCTGGCATATATACTCATCCCACTTAGCACTTGATTTCTTATCTTATCCATTATAATATGAGCATTCATCCCACTTAGCACATCATTTCTTATCTTATCCATTTTAGTTTATGCTCGTGACACAAATGTTCAAAACTTTTATGGTTTCTTGCTAATGTGCTCAACCCCATTATGTTCTTTTTTCGTTTGATTGGTTTTCTCAAGAACGCTTAATACTGTTAAGTATTCCGAACTATCACAAGTATGTATAATGTTTATATTGATTAAGAAGTAATCTATATACGAAGATTTTCAGTATTTTACGTCAATTACAAAATCAAACATTTGTATGTTAATTTTCTATATTAACTAATTGTAAATCTTGTCTTGTACTCAAGATGTGTGATAGAACTTTTTCATACTTGATCTTGTGTACTGTTTGTCTCTTGGTTCTTGCATGATTCTCGATATTTTATAGCAATTTGCCTGACCTATGTTTAGTTTTCACGAAACTTCTTTTTTTAAGTGCTAGTTTTATGCTGCTTTTTAATGTCCTGATGTGTAATGTCTTTGGCGAATTTTCGTTTTGCTAAAGATATAGTGCAATCACAAGTGCCTACCACCGAACCGAGGAGCTGATATGATGTCACTCATCATGGTACATTTGAAAATGTTGAAAGATGGTTGTGGGAACTCAGGGATCATACAGATTCAAACATTGTCATCATGCTTGTTGGAAATATGGCAGATTTGCGTCACTGGCGTGCAGTTCAAAGTTCAAACCGAAGATGCAAAGGCATTTGCTGAGAGAGCACCTTTTTCATGTTAGCAGGAAAGCTCTCGAGGCTAGTGATAAACCCACAGCCTTACCTAAAGGACAGACCATTAATGTCGGGTCGAAGGATGATGTTTCAGCTGTAAAGACAGGTGGTTTCTGCTCTACTTAGCAGAGACCAATTAGTGACACAAGAATTCTTGTCCGTGTATACATTAATGACATGGTTCATTTCGCTACTTGAGGCCACCCACTTTTTAGAAAAAATGGTTTCATTTTTTTGTGAGAATGTGTACGTAAAACAAATTTTGGGTTTACGTGTAAATTATTTTATTGGTAGAATGTATAGTTGAAAATGAATTTAGGAAAAAAATGAGTTTTTGAATAATGAGACTCAAACGGTCAAATAGGTGTCAAGTTTTTAGTTCATTGGCATACAAAAATTTGTCCAGGTCAAGCCAAACCCTCTTAGATAGTTGATATAATTTTTAACATAATGTCATATGACAACTTATCATTGGATTGTTTAAAACAAATTCAATTTTTTCATCCAGTCAAATCTCTCCAACACGTATTATGTTAGTTATTATGTCACCTACTTTCTAGCAATATAGCATTATTCCTTAAGAGTAAGCGTCTTAGATACATGCTCAATTATTTTTATTTTGGCTGCTTCACCATAGTGTAATATTTTCCTTTGGAGTCCCTCGCTTTAGAATATGCCCCCGTTTGGCCCCCATTTTTTCCATTACATTACATTAATTTTCTCTCTCTTCATTTCAACAACATATTCATCAAATAAAATAATATTACATATAAATCTAAAACTTTTCATTACTTTTCTACCACACATTCTCTCATTAATCACTATTCCAAAAATTTTCAAAACCCCATAATGGGGGCCAAACCGGAGCTATATTTGATCGCTGAATATTCGAATTTAGGCATGTAATTAAGAATTGGGCATTAAATTTCTGGTCGCTATTGACGTTGTGTTATTTCATTAGATTTTTCTGATTTTGTTTGATAAACTGATCCTCGCCTTTGATGAATTGTGATGTTAATAGAATTGCACGTGTCCACTCATTTCTAAATTTCTCCGCTTTTCTATATTGTAATGGTAGGTTTGTTGCATGTAGTTTGGCAATGATCGCAGCCTGCAACAGCAAATTTTTGCACATTGTCACGATACAAAATTTCCTGTACAAATTCAATTAAGATCTCTAGATGAAAGAAAGAGACTTGTGTATATACAAAATTTTACAGGTAGAATTACGCGTTTTTACGCCTGCGAGAGGAATCGCAAACTTTCAACAATTAAGGAATCTTTTCCTTTCTCTTCTTATAATCTCGAAGCACTGTTTCGCGATCTGCAGGAGTTGCTGATAGAAACCACTTGCTAAACTCGACCTCTTCCATGCCCATCGACTGAGCGAGGAGACTATACTGGCTTCTTTTCTGTCTCTTGGCTGAAGCAACGAGTTTCACCTTCTCCTTTTCTCCTTCCACATCTGATCGTTTCGTCCCCACAGTAGGGTGGTATGGCCGTGTCACCACAGCCTTCAAACCCATGCCCTGGTTCCCAGCTCCGAAGTTCACAATATCCTCATTGCGATGTGCATATACGATACCTGAATAACCAAGTGACTCGCTTAAATCTTAAGGTCAATTCATTTCACCACATACAAGTTCTAATGGCATTGTATTACTCGTTAAAATATGAGTAACACGTAACACTCACCGACATCCTTAAGAACTTGTTCGCCTGTTGTCTCTCTCTCATTGTCCACCACATGCTTTCTAGCAGTTTCTTTCTTAGGAACATGATCCATCCCAAGTTGAGGCAAATCAAGCTTCCCCTCGTTATTGTGTTCAAATTCTTTTCCTTGATTTTCATGCAACTCGATGATCTCGCTAGTGAAAAGCTTGTCAGAGAGATCGCTGAACAGATTGCTTATTCCAAACAGCTCGCCTTTAAACTCCTTGCAATCCTGGAAAAAAGAGCACACGAGTTGAACAGAGTGACAGAAATAAAATAATATAATGATAAGAAGAAGAGGTAAGCTTATTAACCTGGACCCCTTCAAAGTATCGTTTTTCCATTTTCCCAGAAACAGCAATATTTGATAGCTGCTGTTTATACACTTGGCGTGTGTAGATAAGTTCCTCAAGAGAACCAGCTCCAAGAAGACGGAAAACGGTTACATGCCTCTTTTGACCAAAACGGAATGACCTGTCTTGTGCCTGCAAATCCTGTGCAGGATTCCAGTTTGGATCAAATATCACAACCCGATTTGCACTAACAAGATTGAGCCCAAGCCCACCAGCTCGGGTAGATATCAGGAACACCTGATGGTTATATGTTAATTTTCATTTTATTGAAAAATCATGATTTAAGATCAAAGTTCAATGCCAAAATTAACCTGTTTGCTTGGACTTGAGTTAAAATTGTCAACAAGAGACTGGCGCAAGCTAGTCGGAGTTGAGCCATCGAGTCTTGAAAAGGAATAGCCTTTGCGTATAATAAACTTTTCAAGTATATTTAACATCCTGCTCAGACAAGTCAAACCTCAGTAGGAGAAGAAAATATGTGATAGTACACGATGAAGAATCTTGGCAGGTAATATTCAATGTCTCAAACCCAAAACCAAAAAAAGAAAGAAAAAAATAATAATAAGGCAAAAGCAATCCGCCTACAAAATAAAGTACATCAATTCAGATTAAGCCCCTGTTTGAGCCCCTATTTTACAAACTGATTTTCAACCACACAATCTTCAAATAAAATAATTTACACGTAAACCCAAAACTTTTTTCTACTTTTTAACCACAAACTCTCCAAAAACAAAAAAAATCGCTGTGACAAAACCTATTTTTCTATAAAATGGGGCTCAAATGCACCCTAAAAGAGTCTGTTTCATCCATACCATGCATTCTTGAAAATTCTAGAAATTAAGTCACTATATGGAAAGTGGCTTTCAAAAATTTTGGAAGGAGCAGAGGCCACACAGCCTGTTCTCCATTGCTTTATAATAAAAATCCATAAAACAACAACAAATTTCTTGTACGAAAATAGGCATTCCATGGGAGAGGAGATAGCAAGCAAAGAACTTTTGAACTCGAACAAAAAAAAAAAAAAATAATAATAATAATAAAGGGAATAGTAACCTTGTTTCTGTTAAATAATTTCAAAATCCTCTCAGAAGACTAGCAGAGAAGTGATACTGTGATAGTAAAAACTTAGATCTACAAATATAATTCTGCTTTTCAAATGCTATTCTATCAGAAATAATGAATCACATCTTGATAATTCCAGAAGAATAATATTAAGCAGCAAAAGTGAAGCACCAATGCTGGGACTCCTCTTTATCTCCTAAAAAACCCATGAAAGAATCTCGTTCTTGTAAAGGCAAGCTGAAGCAAGAAATATTTCTAAAATTGTTTCCCAATTTACGGGACTATTTATTCACTATTTATCCACGAAAATAACCTTTGCATAGAGTTCATAGATGTATTCTCTCTCCCCCTCCTTTCTTTTGTTTTTGGCGGAAGCTGGCTTCTTTTACTTCATTTTCATCTTTTCTTATCTCAATTAAACAAGTTGAATAAATTACAATGCATACCTGACAGAATAACTGAAAAGAAGAACCTTGTCACCCATAGAAATCCAAGAGCTCATCAACCTTTCCAAAGCTCTCATTTTCCCACAATGTTTAACATCAGTCAGGCCCATGAAACTCTCATTCAGGGAATTTCCTCCCACTAAATCAATGTCTATACCAAATACAGCAGAAGCAAATTCCGCATCCTTCCTTCGTTTGTATGGATCGTCCTTTGGATTGGGTTTAATGAGCTCGAGATGATTGCTAATCTGTAAGATAGCTCGGAAAAGTAAAGATAACACATAACCGAAAAGAGATAAAAGAAAAAAAGAAGTATTCTAAGAAGATATAGGTAGGATTACAGCCAATCAACAAAACAATTTTATTCTTTCATATACTTTCAAATAATTAAACTTTGTTCAAACGGGAACACTAGAAACCTGAGAAATTAATTACATGACATTGCTTCTTATGGAAACTTTTTATTCTCGTGCTTGAGGCTGGAGATCTGAGGAGAAACAGTGTTAAGACTTAAACTTCATGTAACCCCCAGCAGAATCCTGCATTGTGACAAACATGCTACATGTGTAGAGGCTTATCATTAAATCAAATACATCCAATAGCCAGATTTCGTGACCCTAAACTTGATTTCCAGGTCCTTTAACATCTTCATTATTTACTTCTTTGTTGATGGAATGCAAAGTCTCTTTATTTTACCCTATTTAGACTAATTTTTTGGAAAAATGATAACAATAATACAATTTTCAATTAGGTTTTCAATATGCTACCTTCACTCCAATATAACTATCTCACAATGAAGAGGTGTAAACATTTAGAAGTATTTCCTTTGCCTACTTCTCCCCCCATTCAATCTTTTGATATTCAAATTTATCTAAAACAATATTTTTCATTAGCACTGGACACTGACAAACTTGATTAGAAAACATGTACCAGTCACTATTAAATATTGTAGCATCATGATATTTAACCAATCAATCCGAAGGAAGCCAAGAAGTATACAAATAGCATATTGAAAATCAAATACCTGCTGAAGCTTGACAAGGCAAGGGAGAACGAGGCAATAGGGGCATGAATCACAACCTTCTGGATTATCCTCGTGGAGGTATGGCCAGATGAAACCATTTGGAACAGTCCTCTTGCAACATTCAACTTGTTTAAGTGGGCTTCCACAACTACATGGAATGCCCTTATTGATAAGGCATTGGAAATCAGGGAGTTGTAACGTCCTTTGGTATACCCGTTTTTGCAAATCGCTCATGGCGCAGAATACAACATTATCTTCCTTTCCCATCATAAGGTGCCCAATAGTTTCCTCCTTTGTCCTTCTCAACAAATATCTTTGCAAAACTGATACTAAGTGTTGTTTTCGTTCATCGGCAACTCGGATAAATCTTTCTGGAGCACTTGATCTTTGACCATGCTTGAGAGGTTCATCATAAAATTCTCGAAAATGTTCTCGTGTTCCCAAGCAACCAGGTACTACCCAATCAAATAGATTGAATAATTCCATTATTTTGTTCTGCATTATAGTTCCAGTAAGACCATAACGTTTAGGGGTTCTAATTTTCAAACATGCTTTATAGAGTTTTGACTTTTCATTCTTAAGCCGGTGTGCCTCATCAATAATCACAATATCCCACTGTACCTCAGACAAAATGCTTCCATGGATCCTATAAGTGTCAAAGCTGGTAATAAGTATCTCAACATTATGTGCTTCTAGTTTGTCAATTATCAGGTCACGATTTGGTCCGTGGTAAACAGAAACAATAAATACAGACCATTTGGAAAACTCATTTTCCCAGTTGTGAATAACAGAACTGGGGCAAACTACCAGTACGGGACCCTTATGTGTGCAAATTCCCTTCAGTGGGGCTATGTCACCCAACTCTCCATCCTTTCCAAAGACCGCATCTAAGAAAGCAATTGTTTGGATGGTTTTTCCCAGTCCCCTGGTGTGTAGATGTGAAGAAACAGAAAAGGATGTTATAAAAAGAAAACAGCGTGACTGATAATAATGTGAAAGAATACAAAAGAAAGAAGGGTGAATTAAGGACATAATGTGGTTGGTAGACAAACCATGTAGCAATGTAACAATACATTTAAAAACATTCAATAAAGAATTTATGAACAGATACAAGTTCAGATATATGTATTTTTTTAGAGACAAATCACAGGACAGAGCGCATAGTATAATGAATATGAGAAAGCGATGGATGCAGCCTGGATTGTCACGAGCTCATGTATTTAATGATGCCATGTTCTGTACTACAGAACAGATGCAGCAAACTGATTTTTCAGTTATAGCTTAATACATAGGCCAAAAGAAAATTCTGCTTGTTAAAACAAGTAAATGTGGGCAATCATTTTATCCTTGTCTAACTTTCTAAAACAGTCAATTTTGCTATCTAATTCACAGCTTAGCTTAAACAAAAAGAATGAAGAAACCAGCGATGGGAACACTTGCAGCACAACAAAATAAAGAAGTACTCTTACTTTTCAAAGAAAATCGAAGATTGTTCTCACGAAGTCCTAACAAGATTTTTTGTGCATTTAATAACCAGATTAAAAGAACTAAACATTATTATCTACCCTCCCAATGGCTTCACAAAAAGAGAAGGGAAAGGTTAGCATGAAATTTCAGGTCAAAAGATAACAGAAAAATAGAATGTAGTAATCCATTTTGAACAGAGGTTGCCAAAACCAGAAAATGAAAATCATATGATAAAATATCAAAAGAAATTCATCTAAAAAAATTAACTTGTGTAAGTTAAAATGGAAACTTACATGTCATCACCGAGAACACCTCCATGGTTGTTCCTGTACAAATTATAAAGAAATTTCACACCTTCTCTTTGATGTTCCAGGAGTCTACAATTTACGGATGCGGGTACCTGATAAATGAAAATGCAAATTATGCTTAGTACAATTATAGTTCAAGGTCTGAAATTATCACAGACAAGAAATGAAGAAAAATATAAGTGACTAGTAGTTATCGGAAAGAGCCACTGAAGCCAAAATGTAATTATGATTTATACTGAATTGGTAATGTGCTTACTATTCCAGAACTATTATATAAAAAATTACCAAAATATAAATTTGTGGAGGCTTCTGAAAATTGTAACTTAGCTAAACGGGAAGCCAATATGGTGATTTATAGTGAAAAGTAAGCACATATTCCAGTACTTGTATAGAAATTACCTGAGTATAAAATGGAGGCTTTTGAAAAGTATAAATTAGCTGAACAGGATGCCAATGTTGATTTAGGAGTCATGTGCAGAAGCATACAAGAAGTTAGTGTATTAAAGATGAAAATCAAAGACTTGGTTTTGAAGCAGTGATATCACAGGAATGTGGAGGAATTATTTCGATAATGTTATTCAATGACAGACAGTCTGATTATTAGAAACTTCACGGTAGATAAGAATGTCATGACAGAACCATAATCCTTATCCTTCTTCATCAGTCACCATTCCCAAACTATCACCAACAACACATGAACAATCTACTAACAAGACAATCACCAGAAAATTTCATCCTCTTCTGTGTTGAAATAAAAATAGAAGTTTAATGACTAAACTTGAGAAACAAAATAATCGGTTGTCTATTCTCTGTTAACTATGTCAGCAATTTTGTCAATTCAAGACGGACAGAGCTTAAATAAAAACGAAAGTTCAGCTATTAATTTGGAACAAAAAGAGTTAAAGTAATCAAAGTGAAACAAAGCAGTGAGTTGGGCCACTAATAAACTGTCAAATCCTCTACATATACAAGTCAAAACATACTTAACCAAAGTTAATAATTCATCATCCAAAAGACACAGTTGCCACCACTATGGACAGAATGAAGAAAATTCATAATTCGCTTCAAACCGCAATTAACCCAACAAATTGCAAAATTAAATTTTGACCAAATAAGCAGTCCAAAAATCACCTGAATCACCGGAATTTCACCCTGCGGAGACAGAACTAGGGGCTCATAATTTCCAGTGCATTCAAACAGACGAAAAGACTCCAACTTGGATCGTCCAGTGTCATTTTCCTTTTCCTTTTCTTCTTCCACTTCTTCTGAATTGTCTTCAATTGGACCATCAAAACGGGCCTCCGGTTTCGGGGGCAACAAAGGGGTGTCTTGTTCGAGGCGCAGAAGTTGCTGAGAAAGTGAAGATTTAGGGGGTTTTCTAGGGATTATCGTGGAATCAGAAACGTGTGAAAAAGAAGAGGAAACGAATGATAAATTGTTTGTGCAAGGTTTGAGGGTTTCTTTGAGAGCGTTGAATGACATGTGGAACTCTTGAAATGAATTTGGAACTCTTGAATTGCAGGAACTATTCACCGGAGGAAGTATCAGCCTATCTGTTTTCATGCTTCTACGAACTTAGGCTATGTTTGACTTGTTTTGCCGATACTCATTTTTTGCCGTTAAAATTATATCCATCAAACACACTTAATTAACAATTTTGTGGAAAAACAAGTTCTAGACAATTAGGAGTTGTTCTCTTTGTGTTTGAGTTTTGTATTTTGAATTCATTTTGAGTTTTGTGTTTTGAGTGTTCGTTTTGAGATTGTTGAAAATGCGTTCTTTTTAGCATTTTTAAAAATTGTTTTCAAAAATTAAGAAATGGAAAATGTGTTATCTTCCCCTTCCTCAGCCTCTTTCTCTCTTATGCGTCTTTCTTTTTCTCCTCCCCTTCTTCTTCTCCTTCCCTTCCTTCTTTACTAATGATTGTTGATTTGGGTGTTGTGGTTGGATGCAGTGATTGGGTCGTGACGCTGCGGTGGTGGCAGTTGGGTCGCGACTTTTGGCTAGGGCGGTGGGGCTAATGGAAAATCAATTTTGACTGTGATTGGGTCGCGATTCTGGTGGCGATTTTGCTGTGGTTAGGTCGCCATTTTTGCTGGGTGGTGGTGGTCTTTCTGGCCGCGAATTTGGCGATTGTTGGGTAGCGATTCTAGTGGTGATTTTGCGGTGGTTGGGTCGCCATTTTGGCTAGGCTATGGTGGTCTTTCTAGTCGCGAATCTGGTAGTGGTTGGGTCGCGATTTTGGCTGTGGTGGTGGTGCAGTGGTGATTAAGTCGCGGTGATAGGTTCCGACGGTGCAGTTGTGGTCGCGGTGGTGCAGTGGTGGTTGGCAGTGGTGGAAAACAACGAAAATGTGTTTTGAAAATTTTTGTCAAGTTATAACTGAAAACACCAAAAACGACAATTTTGTCATTTTGGGTTTTCTTTGTAAATTTTCAACCCGTTTTCAGAAACGCGTTTTCGAAAATAGAATAGAGAACACGTTTTCACTTTTTTGAAAAAATAAAAACAGAAAACGGATTGAAAATGGCAAAGAGAATAGGTTCTTATTTTCTCTGGAATTTATTTTCTTTCCACCCATTTTTCTTCTTTGCAATCAAACGGACCCTTATTTTAAAGGATTAACGGTAGTAAACTCCTGGAAACATTTTAATTTGTGATATACCTTTATTTATTAGAAAGTGTAGAAAATTTCCCAATTAAAAGTTTTTCCCAAGTTTTGACAAAATCACCCCTAGTTGGTGCACCCAACCGACACGCACGTGCCTAAAATCTCCTTCATAGTCCCGCTCAAATATTTTGTCATGGAGCGCGGAATCATCACGTTCACAATCTCAATTACATCGTCGAGAGAGATATTTCCGTTATGCTTAATATTTTTTCGTCTTCTTGCGATCGCGCTCAGGCTCCTTGAGTGCTTTGATGACAAGGGTGACGGTAGAAGGGACGATGGTGACCTTGGCTTGGCGGTTTTGGACAGTGAGATTGATTGTCATGCGAAGGACCTTCCAGTCATTAGCGGTTTCCTTGGCGATGTCTTTTCCAATTTTCTTAGGAGAGAGGCCAAGCAACTTGATTTTGGGGACAAGCGAGCTAGCAGCACCGACCTTGTCGCCGGTAACTCGGACAAATACATTGACGACTTGAGAGGAATCAAACTTCGGTGGCATTTTCAAAAGAAACTAGAGGCTTGTGAGACGAAAAATTGAAAGAAAGTGAACTTAAGGTTATAACACTAGGTTTGGAGGTTGGTGGGTCGTGTTGCTGCCTTCTCATGCTAATGGGTGGCAGAAATTATGGGATTTGCTGGTTCTCATGGTAATGGGAGGTGGGATGTGGTGGAAGTGGGGAAGAAGATAAAGTTTAAAAAGTTTGAGATTGTAGGTGGTACAAATAAAAGATTTTGATGTAATTTGCAAAAAATAAAAAAAATTGGGATCACAACTGCAATTATTTCTCTTTAATTTTGACAATTTTTACTGTTTTTAACAATCAAACTAACGAAATTGGACAGTACGGGGTTTTCGCACAAAAAATGTTGTATTTTGCGCAAAGTGTTTTAAATAGAGGGATTTTCTTCGATTTTCAATAGGCAGGGGATATATCACAAATGATAACGTTTTTAAGTGATTTTCTGCTATTAATCATATTTTAAACATTGCTACTTCAATGGCATAGGGTAACCGCAGTCCCCAACCCTTTAACAAAGATGCAATTGAGTTACCTACCAAACCGAGCAAGACGTTTAAGCCCTTATTTGAGTTTTTTTTTTTAAATAGATTTTATAAAAAGTGATTTTTTTAACAATGTATGATTAAAAAGTAAGAATTTTTTTTAAAATTTATTTGCAAAATTATTTAATAAAATAATGAGTGATTCAAAATGAATTTTAAAGAATGAAGTTCCAGTCAGGGCTAATTTATATTTTTGTATTCATGATGGGTATTAAACTGTTTGAATATTTATTTTACGAGTAAATATTGAAGCTCCTATTTATGTATGACATTATAAATTAGGTGCACATCATAATTCATAACCTAGACAATCGTCCATGGTTCATGTCTACGAGAATGTGCACTTACAAATTTGCGTATAGATATTATTCGTAATTCATAACCTAGACACATCCACAGTTCATGTCTACATGAATAAAGTTGAGGACTTCATTCTGATTATGTTATACTCTTGTTTGCGTCACACTGGGATGATGATTTCTCCTGAGGGCAAAAAAGTCAAATGGGGCATTTCATTTTATGCGATACAAGTACTAGTACTAGAAGAAAAATGGTGAATTTCCTAGGATTATCGTACTCTAATTTATCCATACATCGTCATCAGAGAACGAACCGTCAAAAGGATAAACCATACAATCTGATGCATAGCTCACACTAGTAATCGAACTACAAACTTTATAATTTAAAAGGGATCAAGATTTTACTAGTAATAACGTGTCTGGGATATCAGGATCAGTCAAATTACTCAAAATTTAGAACTAGAGGCTTGTCGAACTTGTTCCTTCGAAGTAGATAGCAATCACTGTTTAGAATACACGAGCAAACTTCACACATTGTAGACGAAGACAAACTGAAACAAACCTGGCTATAATGCTTGACCAAACCATTACTCGCAACTTAACAAGGACATGAAAAGCCGAATATTGGTTCCAACTCCAAAATTTGGAACTGCAAATCATGTGCCTAGAAAACTAAAGCAATGCCACTGAACACCTCCAATAGACGTAATAAAACAAACAGTTTAACACGTCAACTCATGGAGCCCTTAGCTAATAAGTCATCCATTTTCACATCACCCGTCCTTGCACCTTTTTGCTTCTCAATGGAAACCGATAGAAAGTTCAAGAAGAAACCAACAGTTACACCATATAACATACATCAGAATACAATAAATTCATTTTCTCTTATTTGGATTGATAGGTTTGACAACTTATTTGCCTAGGTAACAAACAATGTCCAGTTTTAGGGGATTCGGTCTCAAGTAGTGTGTTCCTGCAGACAACCAAGACGAGAAATCATCTTCTAGTCTATGCACACATACATCAATAGAATAACAAAACTATCAGTCAACTGAGACAAGTTGCTGAACTTTTTGCAAGCACAGTATTTTATCGGTACTGTACAATTCCACATCACAACAGCAATACGGTAGCTAATATCAAAGAAACTGGGTACCCCTATAATGTGTTAAGATCTATCTGTCATCTCTTTCTGCGCTTCGGCTCCACCTATCAATGAAACCAACACAAGGTCTCGTTAAGACAATAATAAAATATGGAGGCATTAAAGGGCAATACACTAGATTTACTGAGGAATTTTCCCCTCAATTATTTCACATACTCTATTCAATAACTGAAAGCCCTCTACACAGTATAAACAATTATGTAAAGAGGGAGTGTGTGTGTGTGAGGGAGAGAGAGGGGGGGCCAGAGAACAGAATAATGACACTGTACATGTCGACTAAAGTAAAGATGACTTAAAACACCTGATAATCTCGTTGATAATCCATCTTCAAAACTTAAAATTCAAGATTTGCATCTACATTTGGCAGCTCATTAAATCACCAGTTGCCCCCACCAATTAATTAAAATTGAAGGAATAAATTAGATAACATGATCTTGCACGTAAACTAAACTGCAGTAAGGATTTGACTATTTCCGACTGAACTATTTGTTTTTGGAAATTGTAAGCTAGTCCCTAATGTATGTTGAGAATTGGAACAAAAGCATCAAGAATTTTCTCTTAGTTGCCTTAACATTCATGCCATTAGGAATGTTTGAACATATATACTTAACTCGAACCCCATGGAAAAATTCAGAAATCTTCCATCAGCTCCTGAATGTGAGTTCCATATATACCACAAAGTTACAAAAATCAATAGATTTCACTAAAACAATTTCTGCCCAAATGAGTACATAATTAATACATGCATATGTATATTATAAGACAATTTAGTTGTTTGCAGTTCCATTTAGTCTAAAATCCCTTTGTCCACGTGAAGAGGAGAACCTCCTATAAATAACATCAATTTCAACTCCCCCGTAACCAAGGATCTCAACTGCTTCTTGTTTAGACATTTTAGCCCTCCAAATCATGCACGCAAGACAGCTTTTTTGAACTTAATGATCAGTTTACTCACTTCAACAAGAAGTCCAACAAAATTTATTTTATGGTAACACATCTCTCATAAATACAGCTAAGAATTCGGCTTAATTCCAAAAATATATTCATGGAAGTTGGGTTTCAATGCCTCTCGAGGAGGAAAAAGTAAGGAGAGCTGCTTTTGAAACATAGAAGAATAAGTCAACATGACTTTCTCTCAATCTTGTGGGGGATATGGTGAAGGCCATTCTATCAGAGTTTTGCAGAATTTTATGCCAACTGGATTGTGGGGAAGCATATTTTAATTCTTTTTATTTTTAACAGAAGCGTATTTTTATTTCCATCCTGTTACACCGGTATCCAAAAGCCACTTTGAAAAGAATAATGACTTTCGATGTGTCATCAGTAGTATGCAGAAGATAATGAGAAAGTTTCGGCTAATATGTTGAGTACAGATCTTTAAGATACAGTTAACCGTTATCAGATTTTCATTTATAGAACTGGTGACCGAAAATAAATATGGAGAAAAGGAATTTGGAGGTATATCTGTTAACAATCAGAGTCCGTCCACTTTGTAAACAGCAAGGTGCATAGTACAAGAGTAGCCTATGACTTGTATAGGTGTACCTATAAGAAGTAATCCAAAAGTTGTCTCCTTCTGGGATACCATAATCAAGAGGATCAAAGAAATAGGGGTGCTTTTTCAATCAAAGCTTTGAGTTACCTTAAGTCGATCTTGTCCACAGTATCCCGTTGTATTATTTATCTTTGTCCAAAATCATAGTAAATTTGGCAAAGAGAATAAAACTTGTGGTACAGGAATTTAGTCGGAAGGGCATGGACAAGGACCGGAAGGATCATTTAGTAGATTGAGTTGGTTACTGAGGTTAAAGCTAAGTATGGCCTGGATCTGAGTAACTTGGAGCCTGAGGACATCTCGGTGGAAGACCAATTGAAGCCTACATTTAGTTTTCACCAGAACTTTTGCGATACTGGAATTGCCTCCAAAATTATACTCATGCAAGCCACTATAAGTTGATCTCCCAGTAACATCCTTTTTACTGTCCATTGCTGCAACTTAAATAGGCAGTGTTTCTGAGGTCCACTTTTGCTGAACTATTGATTGTTTTAGCTTAGAAATAGCTCTCATAGACTTCTCTTATATATAAAACTCTTGAAAGTTATGGTAGATGCATAAAAGTTTTTAAATAACAAAATATACAGCAATACAAATGCTGCAACCTACAAGTTCACCAAAAAAAAAAAGTGCCAATTGTATAATAGAACAGTTGTTTCCATTCTGAAAGCATCAGAATAGAAAAAATGCACTTCTACCTTGCCGTCAACAGCTGGTGATACAGGGAATGAGTTCAAAGACCTTTTGGAATCATCTTCGGATGAACAGTCAGAACACAAGAAATGCTCCAACTTCTTCGCTTCTTCAATGGTCATACCCATGCAAGAAGGATGAAACCTGCAACAGAAACATATTCATTAAGAGCCACTATCAATACAATCGTACACAGGCATATTACTTAATAGTTTGGCAACAGCAAACTGTAATACGACAAGTCTTTTGAGTTACCACTAGAACCAAAAAGCAAATAAGTACTATATTATCCCTAGAATCAAAACTAACAGAAGCAAAAGCATCAACATGGAGCTTCATGCCCATGCACATATCAAAATCTCGAATTCTCAAAATTGTATAAAATATAAATTAACACTAAGCCAGAACTCTCAAACCAATTTGCTGGTCAGTGCTTGAAGTTCTTATCGAAGGCAACAATTCCACCCAAAAGAGGATAGCAGAAAATGCCAAATAGATAAAAACTTGCAATATAAGACAGAAATCCCAATGAATTACCTGAATTCAGGGCCATAGGGTTTCTAGTCTTCCAGATTCCTACTCTTATGAAACTTTTTTAGAGGAAAAAAGATATCTCTAGATACAGGATACTGTAGTTAAGCAGGTAAATTTCACATTAGTCCTTGTGATTTTCCTTAACCTCAAATTAGTCCCTTGAGTCAAATTAGACCATGCTGTTAGGTTCTGTTAGTGATTCCTTTGGCCTTGTTGACGCATGAAAACATTTTTTACTCTCACCTGGCAAAATTGATATCATACACCTAAGAAGGCAATTACTATCAGTTTACATACTAATTTAAGAGAAATTAAACAAAGATAATACCTGAAAACATGTAGGAGAAAGAAAAAAAGGAAGATAACGAAAACCAACCTCCCCCACCCCCCTCCTCTCCCAAACCAATCAACCTGCACAACCCAGTCCCCAACCCAACCTACAATAACCCATCTCAGCCTCTTAAAACAAATTCCTTTTGCCTTATTTCCAGAATATATTTCAAAGTTATCTTCCCCACTACTACTACTAACAAGATGCCATGCTGCCAAACTCCAATTGCCAATCTCTGCCTCCACCCAAGCTATAGACAACAATAATCACCAGGGCTGCAGACATTGGCCGACAAGAACTAACATGAAGCCAACAGATTGAGAACCATTAGGAACTTACTATGGTTTTTCGTTTGATTGGAAGTTTGTTGTAAGGGTGATTGACATGGTGGCAATGGTGGTAGGGAAGTTTTTCCTTATTTTGTTCTGGGTTCTGTGCCGATGGTTGCCAAGGTTGGTCCCTGTAAATGTCAAGGTTGGATATGAGATGAGGGGTGGTGGTATGGAGGTTTAGTGGGAAATGGTGGAGCTAAGGTGGTTGTTTTGAGTTTGATAGGTGCACAGAGGGCTATGGTTGTATTCGTATTGTAATAGTAGCTTTTGTGATGAGGATAATTAATGGACCATGCAGTTAGTTAGTGCAACTGAATAGGAGTTGCACAAGGAGGTTGAGGAGAGTCTTGGATGAGGTTTCATGTGACACCTTTGTGATACCAATAAAAAAAACTAATGTGACAATTAAAACATTCTATAATGATCAATTAGAAAAAATAAATAAACACTTAGGTAAATATGGAAATCTATCATTAAAACTGTGGCAGATAAGGCATTGAACATCCAGGTAATGTTAAAAAAAAATCCAACTTCCCATGGGAGAACAAATGCATAATGTGTACAATTACTTTTACCTCCCCTTGGAACAAAGCTTACTGTGATGGACAATCAGTACAATAATTGTTTTCTAACATCTAGGGACAAAGCTTACAATGATATGAAAGCTAAATTATTGGAAACTCATATTGACACAATTCAGGATCCAGTAACATGACAGTAGTGAGTCTTGTCAAAGGACTACTCGCATTACAAACAGGTCCTATTGGTCAGATATAAGCACCTGTTACAATCAGGGAACAGGAATAAACAAACAACAAATAATTTGAAAGTAATGACAAATATCTAGATAGTTGGGCTCTGGGTAAATGAAGTAAGCTCAAGGATGCTAAACCAGAAAAAGTAGGCTGACTGTCTTTTCTCCCTTCCTCTTCTTTTTCTCTTCAATTTATGATTGAAGTTATAGAATTGCATAACAGAAAGTACCTTGCAAACTTTTTCCTGGTGTTTTTATGATTTAATTCGGTACCTCTCTCAATTATGTGATGTATGTAATTTCTTCATCTGTGCATGCACTAACTTCTTCCTCCATCATTTAGCACAGTATTCTAATATTTCCCTTTCAAGTTGGCACGATGATCCGTCCTCTCAACTGTTGATGCAAAACATTTCTAACTACATAAAACTATCACTCGTTGGCACAACACGATCCTCTATAGTGACTCCACTACCATCCATTTCCTACTACGATTAAAATGATATTAAAACTATAGATTCATACCTCTTTGGTACTTCTCTGTTTCTTAATACCACGTCAAGTGCTATCAGCATATGTTATATAGTTAGACTAGGAATTGTCTTCCAAATTTCCATGGTGAGATATCTTCCTTCCTAACAACAATGAAATCAATTTGACTAAACTTCTATCCATTCCTAAAAGTTATTAGGTAAGAATATCTTTTCAAAGCACATATTCACTGACACCAAATCAGAAACCATCCTAAAGTCGTAACATTAAAATTGTGTTCATCTAATACTTCAGCCATGTACAAAATTGTTCTCTATGGTTCCCTAATCCTACATCATGTTCACCTATCGCATATGATGATTTCCTTTCTTCCTCTTCCTCTTCTCATTGTTTGTGTTTATTTTACATTTATGTTTATATTTATGGTTTTAAATGTTATCAAACACAATAAGCATCTTTTAAGGTACAGATTTTTCTCTCCACATTTCATGATCACTGCATGATTTAGTTTCCTAAAACTGATTTCATGCATCAAACACCTGCACAAGATTAAGAAATAGAATAAATAAATAAAAGGAAAAGAAAAGAAAAGAATCTCATAAATTAGATGAGTCTTATCCCAAACGTCTTGACACCAATTTACTAACTTCACACTTCCAATTACAGATCCAGCAACTCGAACACAATAAATGGGAAAAAGAACTTACTAAAGATACATCATTATCATTATAGAAGAAATTTCACTTCAGCACCAATTCCTACTTTGCTTTAAATTAGCGGATCGAAGTGCATCACAGCACATCATTTTATTCAATCACAGAACACATATAATATGAATTTGAAGCATATAAATTATGCATACATACCAGTCCTTGCACCCTTCACACTGCACCATGAGATCATCTGGATTATAAGGCATCTCACACTTGCAATACCTACAGAAACATAAAACCACAGAGTATTCTGATATTAAATAAAAGCAATAAAATATCATTTTTCCACACTTCAATGACCAATTTCTGAAAACTCACACAGCAACGCGGTCTGGAGTGAACCCTCCAGTAGCCGCCTTGTACTCAAATCTACAAAAGTAATCCTCAGCCCCCACGTTCTCGAGCTTGGTGTAGTTCTTGAAAGTGTGCACAATGCACTTGCCTTCAATGGTGTGAGCACTTTGCATATCAT